ACACACACACACACACACACACACACACACACACACACACACACACGCCAGTGAATTTATTCAGGTTAAATGCATTCAAGACAACAGCTGGAAAGAAACTTCCTGAATCTGAGTCATTTTCCATGATAGCTGAGCCAAAAAGCATCCCAGCCACTTACGGTCCCACACCATGCCCCCTCCATCACTCAGCCTATTAAGATCCTCAGAGGTGTTACATTTAAAACCTTTTCTACAGAGTTTTCTCACAGTCCCCCAATCCCACCAAGAGCTCACCTCTGAATAATTTCTCTCATTTCCATTCTGAGGGAGGCCAAGGATCAAGGCCCTACATTTCAGAAACAACTCCAAATTCTAAGCCAGCTATTTGCTAGGAGACAATATATTTTATTTGCTATGGGGAGAAAAAGTTTACTCAAGTTTCAGCTGAGAGACTCCCTTGGCAAGGCAAACAGTTTTCACAGTCAATAGCCTTCTCCATTCTTAACTACTGTGTGTCTGTCAGAGTTCCCCTTTCGGTCTCTATCGAGTTCTATTACCTCCGTATTTTTGTGCTAATGGGTAGTGGCAGGCCACAAGTACACCCAGTTGATGCTACAGAGAGGCCACAGCTCCCGCCAAGAGCAGGTAGTGCCAGTCCTCTACCCTCTCATCCGGGCAGCCATTCTTCATGCAGCCAAATCCTCGGGTTTTCCGGCTCCTGAAATGCAGTTCTCCAGAGGAACTTCCCAACCCTCTTTCATGAGTGCAGAATTCGGAAACTGCTTGGCTGGGCCTCAGAGGAGCAGCGCCCACTCCCCAGGCCCCACACTGTCCCTCATGAAATCCCATAGACCCTGCCCTGTAGGGGACTTCTCCAGGTGTCCCACACAGCAACCTGGGTGTCACCCTAAATGCCACCTGCTCATCACCGTTCACATTCAGCTGTCACTAAGTCCTCACAATTCCTTCTCCTGGAGTCCCTGTGACACACCCGCTGGTCTCCGTTCTCAGTTCTCACTTTCCTCCTCTATTACTGAAAAACCTCCACCTCTCCATCCGCTTTCAAATCCAGAATCCCCTCCCCTTTACCTTCATGAATATTCCACATGGCTACAAAGGTTCCATTTCTAATATGCAAATCTAGGCAGGTGGCTCTATTGTAGAAATTCCTTCAACAACTTCCAAATAAAAGGCACAATCCTTTTAAAGGTCAAGGATCTGGCCTCTCCTCCTCAGATCTACTTCCCAGGTGTTAACACTGTAGCGACAGATTGTGCTCTGGGGTGAAAACCTCACACAAGTTCACAGTGCCGGTCCCTGAGTACAGAACACCCTCCAACCACCTGAACTCTTGCTTTGAGGCTCAGCTCTGGGCCTCACCTCCTCTGAAGATGTCCCTCCTGTCTGAATTAAGGCTGGTCTTGGTGCTTGCCTCAAGTCAGGACAAATGTTTAAGATGATGTATTTCCACAGCAGTGCTCCTGCAAGTTATGTGAGTCTCCTGAGGCTGGAGGACCCCTCACCTCTGCCTCTCTAGAGCTCAGTAGGTATAGAGAAGTCTGATGGCTTAAATGAGGACAAAAGTGAACCAGGGGTTCTCCCTTATACCAAAGCCACACGGGGAGCCCTGGCCACGGACACATCTCTAGGTGCTGGGCTCATTGCCTTGGGGGGTTCATCATGCTCCTGAAGGACAGATTTGTTCCTACCACCAACAGGCTACCTTCTTTCTAGGAAAGAAATAACTTAGTAATGTGAAGCTTTCTTCTCTCTCCCACCCGAGATAAGAGCGATGAGAGTCCATCCAGTCCATCCACTATGTGAGGGTGAGGGATAGCATAACTGAGTACCAACTCAGAATCAACAGTCTCTCCCCTGGGATAAGCCACAGTGAAGCTTTTGAAAAGAACACAGAGACCTGAACTTAAAACACAGCCAGCATAGTTAGTCCAAACATTTATCAGTAGATGCCTCCTGAGGGATTGGTAGCAGGAAAATTTCATATTCCAGATCAGGTTGTTCCCTGAGGCTTCAAGCAGAGTCCTCAGTCCTGAGAGTTCCCTTAAGCCTGAGGCCCTACGTATTCCATACTGCCAAACTAAACCGCTAGGACACATGTTTGCTAGAAGAAGCCAAGCACTGAGATTCAGAGGGAAGCAATTCATCCTCTAAGGGATTATCTTGCATGTTTGATCCAAGAGGTACGTTCCCAAGAGAGCATGGTAGCCAAGCTGGCTAGTCTGTCCAGATGAGAAGAAATGGCAGCAAGAACAAGCCCAATATTTCAGCCATGCCCATCAGTTGGCCAGAAAGATGAATGTGATTATGGTGGTTTTTATTGCTTTCCCAGAATGTGAGGTGAAGGTGATATGTACTCACAGAAGATTTGGAAAATCTTGTAAATTCGACTCCAGCTTCATTGTTCTTGAAGATTAGACATTTGCAAATTAGAAAGGCAGCAGTTTGATGAGGGCCCTAAGTATCTCTGTTCCTGGCAAAGGACCCAAGGTACAAGAAAGCAAGCATGGGGGTTCACAGGAAGATCCAGCTCTTCTCATATTTACATCACTCGACTTCATAAAACTCAGAAAGTGAGAAATTATTTGGAAATTTACATGATCACCTCTCTTAGGCCTGGTGTTCAAATAACAAATCCTCAGGATGGCCGTATTAACAGCTGCTTCCTAGATGCAACTTTAGGAGGCCATGTTGAGTAATCTTTGATATAGAGGAGTTCTTGGTGACCACCTTACAATAAGGTCAGGTAAGGAACACTTGTCCTCAACAAACACTGGCACTATGCCGCTTCAGACTGCTGGTGTTTGGGGTTTTGAACATTTCTATATCTGATATTGTCAGCTGAACTGAAAAAGCATTCTCCTTATAAATAGAATTCTTCATCATCTATTGTATTTCTTTCCTGACTTCCCTCCCTGTTACTTGCTAGTGTCCTTACACATTGATTTCTCCATCCACTTCCTTAAGAAAAGATAAGTTCAATAGATCAAAGAGGCAGAAACACATGGAGAAGGTGCTTTGTTTCAACCAGCCACCAAACGGCTTCTTTTTCATTTATACCTATGCGCTCACCACGAAAATCTTGAATGTGACATTTTGTCTGTGTGAGTCTGTAACTAAGTTTTGAGGAGACAATTCTTACCAATTCTAGAGAAAGGAGTCAAATGAGCTTATCTCATGTGTAATCTCTGAGTTCTGGAAAGTGCTTGACTTTATAAAACAAAACAAAAAAAATCCAAGCCAATGGGATATTCATTTAAAATTTTCTCCTTTGTTCATGTTTCTTTGAAAAAAAAATATTCTCTCTATTCACTTCTTACCTTCTAGCCTGCAAGCACACATCTATCCACTTTGGGAGAATGTGTAAGGGTGCAGAAGCCCTCCAAACAAGTAAATAAATAACAGGAAAGAAAGAAGATAAAGTAAAATAAATGACATAAGCAAATGTTCAGACTCTAAGCAGTGATGTTGGCCTTCTTCCAAGCAAACAGCCTATTCCTTGGGGTCCACCTTGTTGGTCAACACAAGCAATGCTTCTCTTGAGTTACCAGTGGGACCACATACACTGTCCTGGAATCAGACTGCACAGACGCTGAGCTTCACCTGGACGTCACATCACTTGGGAACGGGTTTTGCCCATCCTTCAGTACTGTGGTGCACTCGCCTGAGCCCTGTGGAGGAGGGTTATACACCCTGTATGCCAAAATGACCCATTGCATTAGCTGTTTTTAAAGACCCGTTTGTACCCCAGGGGAAAACTTCAGGACATCCTACTTCCACAGGCCTCTCAGCACATGGCCACTGTGGGTAGAGGCTGGGACAGGGAGACGTAGCCAGAGACTGCTGGGAGGAAGGCTCGAGGTCAGGCTCATTCCCTAAGTTGATGGGCTCTACTTTTCAACCTAACTCTCTTCTGTATCTGGCACCTGAGAAGATGCGGGTACACTCTCTGTTCCAGGTTCCCATGTCAGGAGGGACGAGGTCAAGAGACTCTTTTATAAGGGGAGGAATAGAAACAGCAAACATCAGGACTCTATATTAACAGCAACATAAAGGCCCTTCTCGGAGCCCATTCCTCAGCAATTGTCTCAGAAGCCTGCCTGGTTATTGTCTCACTAGCTAACATTGTTATCAGCATGTCTCTGATGAGTATCTTCCCCGAAGGACTTCTATCCCTCCAACAAAATACAGATGCATGCATCCTCTGTGAACCCACCATTGGTAGTTTGGAAATCTCTGTCTCCGGAGGAGGATCTGTAGGAGAGGGTACATTGACAGGCAATGGAGGAACATTTATTTAGGTGGCACAATAGGCCTTTATCATCAGTATGCAAATCCATTATGTGGCTTAAAACACTGATGGTTTTCATGTCCCTGAAGCAGATGCAGAGGAAAGGGCTTAAAGGTTTCTTTGAACATCAAACAAAAAGAGTAATAAAAAGAAATATTACTACAATTCTGCATTAATTAAAAATAAATAGAAGATCAATAGTTTGTTCTTCTGAATTAGTGACAGCTCCCTGGCCATAGCAAGGCATAGGGTAGAGTAGCCTTGCATCTTTTCAAATAACCCTATCCAGGCTAGCAGGAGCCCTCATTGTTCAAGAGTCAGTGCACAGAAAACAGAAAAAAAGAGGAAGCTGGTTGGACTTTCTTGCCTGGCTTCTGGGTTGGGGCAAGTGATCATTGATGACTGATCATGCATCAGAAACAGCAAACCTCAGGACTGTGTAGAAATGGCAGCTCAAGGGCTGCCTTTGGCATTGTCCCAGAAGCCTGCCTGGTTATTCTAATTATTGTCTTCCCAGATAACATTGTTATCTACCTGGAAGGAGGCTCCAAGACCTTTCCTCCAGGGCTAGTTCTGGAGATCTAGAAGGCATGGTTGACACGCACAAGCCTAGGGTGAGGGGCTGGACTCCCTCTCTCTTGTTGACCACCTCTCTTTCCCCTTGGATTCCAAATTAAGGGAGGGCCTCTTGGTTCCTCATGTGGTCACTCACCTTTCATACCACTACCTTCTTCTTGGAATGTGTTACGAGCAGTGGTCTGATCTTCTAAGTGTTCACTCCCACCACTTCCTGAAGAGGCTACACTGCTTTGTGGAGACAGGGGGGCATGATCGGGTGGGAGGCACTGGGGTCCTCTAGCTCGTAAGTCCTCATGAGACATCCATCCATGTCCTAAAGGCTGGTTTGGCACATTCATGGGTGGGGTAAGGGATACAGATCGTTTCAAAGGGCTGTGGTGGGCCTGGCCTGAGAGAACTGGAAAAAAAAAATAAAATGAAATAGGTTATTCTCCCCACTTTAGCCTGGGACGCAGAATAACCCACAATATTTTTGCACCCTCGGAGATACCATGGCTAACTCGTACACTCCACTGGCAGTCAAGTCTGGTACTGTCCTATCCTCTGCATGGTTAAGGAGGAGGCTGCCTGGACCTGCTTGTGGTTAGGCTGCACCCCTGATTCCAAATGGATGGTGCTCACACACCAGGCTTTAGTGCTTGGGAGAATCGGGTTCTATTTTAAACTTACGAATCAGACTTTGGAGCAGTGGACCTATGTACTGGGCAAGGCTGACAACGTGGCCATCTGACCAAAGTGAAAAGAGCACGTGTTGGACAATTTTATTTTTTAAACACCAAGCATGATACTACCCACACTGCTGTGGGGGACTTGAAGACACGGGCAGGCTGGTCACCAGCTGGGATCTTTGCAGGGGTCTGTTGATCTATAAGCTGACCTTGTTATTCTAAACAGCCAGGGGACTGTCACCTTCTATGGTGGTAGGAGCTCAAGAGGGCATCTAGCACTGACACGACCTCAGGGTAGGAGGCATGGCAGTCAGGCTGAAAAGGCTAATTCTTTGCCTTGCCCTTGGGGTTCATGTCAAGCTCTCTCTGGCAAACACCTTCAGGTAACAAGGCTCTCATTCAGAAGCCATCAAGGCACTCCCAGTAGGCGTGTTCGGTCCTTTCGCACAGTGGGCAGCATCGGCATAGATCCTTTTTTATTTTCCAGAAAACTAGGAAAAGGCAGCAAAATGCACATAACTGGCCAAATTAAATTGCAGGCATTCAAAGGAGGGATTTAAGCAACATCAGTGCTGAAGGAGCCGATGTTACCCTTGGTCGGTTTGATGGGTGTGTAAAGTGACTTTACAAAATAAGTCTATTCATAACTTTTCTCTCAGTCTGTTTTGACTGCTGCTGTACTAATGTGGAACTGAGCCACGTACATTTTAAAACATTTTCCAGGGAAGCCATTAAATTTCATCTTCAGCTCTAACCCCTCCAGTGAGGCATTTGTTTCCCCTACTTTCAGCCATATATATTCTTTGCTGGCAAAAACTTTTTGTGTGTGTTTCAGCAGGTAGACCAGATGGCCCAAATAGTGGGAGGCACTGCTTTTAGACTGTATTTCTGCAGAGATAGTACCTACACAAAGGCCAGAGCAAGTGATTACTATGACCCCACTTAAAGGCCAGAGCCAAAAGGCAAACTGTTACCAAAAAGCCTGTCTGGGACAGTAGCAGTACAGTCTGTTATCTGGCAACACTCTAAGGGCAACAAAGCTCAGACTTTTAGGGTCAATGTTTCCACCTGACCCTGCACGTGAAGTTCAACAATCAGGACTAAAATAAAAACTTCTTTATTAACAAAGCACGTATGTTGGGAGCGGGCAGGGCACTTCTGAGTTACCATGTTATCTACTTAGGGAATTTCTAACTTGAGTAGGTTTTGTTGAAGGCATGGAGTTTTTTAATCTACTTTAAACATACGTGAATGCAACATCAAAAAAAAAAAAAAAAAAAGGACCCTATCAGGTTTGCATTTTCACTAGATTAAAGAACAGACTATTTGAAAAGGGTCCCTGGAAAATGCATTGCTTCCCAATTGGAGTAGAATTGGCAAACAAAACGAAAGATAAACAAATATGAAACAGCAACAAAAATGGTGAAACCAATAGAAAGAGAAGCTAGACATTCAGGAAATTCATTTCATGCCTGTCTAAGTACTTATATAAAGCTGGGCAGACATGTCTGGAGCCTCCCTGAGTGCTGGAAGATTCTGGCTCAGCTCCGTGTTTTTGTGTCTCCGGTGGAGACTTCAAACAGTGCTAGCGAGGTAGGACCACATTTCCACATGGGGCTTCCTCTGCACAGCTGGCATTCAAGGAAGTCTGAAACCACAGAACAGGACTTGCCCCAAAGGTATCCACCAAAGCAGGTGCGGCCTGTGGTATAGAGGGTGCTGAGAGGCAACAACAAAACTGATAATCAATATTCATGTCTCCTGGTTCATGGCTGCTGTTAGCTTGGTATTTACGTGTGTGTGTGTGCGCGCGCACATACGTACCACACCATGTGTGTGGGGGCAGGAGGACAACTTGTGGGAGTTGGTTCTCTCCCTCCACTTTTGAGTCCAGGGACTGAACTTGGGCTGTCAGGCTTGCCAGCAAGTCTTTACCCTGCAAGCCATTTTGTGGGCGCCTTATTTTGATTTGGATGCTCAGAATAATAAAATGTATATATGGTAGCTGAATTACATTATTTAACGGAGCCAATTTGTTTCCTAAAAATTTTCAAAATCTATATTGCCTCTCAGTTCTGGGGGAACGGCATGCTTGGGAAGCTGCCAGTGTCCCAGAAGGCAACTGATGATCGGGATTAGAGGTAGACGTTTTCCTTATGAATTGACTTGTAGGGATTTGAATATAGACTTACAAAACTGTTTTTGTTTTCCCCAGCTTAAGTGAAGTCAGAGGGGAGGGGGCATGAACTTGGCCTTTGCTTCTGTCTAATAAATCACTTGTAGTTAAGATGCCAGGGCCTTTTCCTGGTGAATTTCCATCAAAGGCCACCTCTTCTCTGTCATAAAGGGAACCCTCTGATCCTCAGGGCTGCTCACATTCAGATCTCTCTGAGGTCATCTTTTAGGGACAGCCAAACTTCTGATAACAAAAAAACTTCTGATATTATGAGAAGGCCAGACATTTAACAGCTGTGCTGAGCATCACACCTAAACCGAAGGGAAGTCTGTGCTGGGCAGACGCCCTCTTCATCATGGAAGAGCTGAAACACGTGGACAGCTCAGGCCTGTCTTCTTACTCTTCTCTTTAGCTTTGTTTTTATTTTATGTGTATGAGTTTTGTCTGTCTGTATGTTTGTGCGCCATGTGCCTGTCTGATGTCCTTGGAGGCCTCAAAACTGTGTCAGTTACCTAGGAACCAGAGTTACAGGCTGATGTTGGTGCTGGGAGCCGAACCTGGGTTCTCTGCAAGGGCAGCAAGAACTGTAACCACTGAGACATCTCTCCAGCCCTCAGGTCTAACTTCTTTCTTGTGTGGAGGAGGCTGAAGGTGCTGAGAGATGACTTTAGAGTGCAGATACACCTGTGGGTTCCAGGCAGTCTTTGGTGTTAGCTCTCATTCTGGAGTAGTCCAGTCTAGGTGGTAGAGGGCTAACAAATGGTAACAGACTGGTACATAGCTGAGGGTCAGCAAGGTGGCTGGCTCGAGTATTAGCCATGGCCCTCTGGCTGCCTTTGTTTTAAGAACTCACTGGAAGCAGTGACCCATGGGGAGAGAAGATATGGGCATTCAGGGGAAAAATAATAAAAACAAACAAACTAACTAAAACCTTTGTTTTCTTCTGAGTCAGGTTGGAAGAACAGCAAAAGCAGAGTGTGAGAAGTCTTCCGTCCTGACTGGTGGCAGCTGCCCGGAAGAGCTCTGGCAGAAGCTCGCTCTTGAATACACTTGCGCTTAACTGCCGTGCCGTGGCCAGTGGCTAATGGCTACTTTAGAGGGCTGTCGCCGTCATATTTGAATGCTGCAGAATGAAACCTCCCTTTAAAAGACCTGTGCAGGGATCAGGAACAGCTGAGGTCTGCGAGAGAAAGCCCTAAGTTTACACTGCGTTTGTGACTTTGACGACAGCGTAGGAGGGACAGCAAGCATGAGATGGTCTGCTTATATGAAAACTCACATTAAGATTTGCCCAGGGGAGCACAGCTGCGACTCTTTTGCACGTGAATCACTGAAATGAAAACTGAGGATTGTATACAGTATGGATTCAACGCTGCTTATAGTTTTGGAAGCTTTTTAAAGAAATTCCAAGCCTGTACTCGTCTGTGTAAGTCGCTTCACGAACACATGCCATTGGGACATCATAACCTGGGGAATATTTATAAATTCAAGTGCCCTGAAAATAAACAATAAATATTGAGTAGGTCCATTTGAAATATGAAAAAAAATTGCTGAAAATAAAATGCTCTAGCACTCAAGCAGCATGGCATCATTGAGGGTGTTCTGACCCTCTGAGAAACTCTGTTATGCCACTTTGGGCCAGCCAGCTTCTCTACCCTCTTTTTCATCTCCTAGCATCTTTGATAGAACCCCTCTCAACACCTCGGAAAGGAGATATATGACAGCTGCCATGGAGTCCTGTCCTAAGCATTTTCCTGAAAGCCTAAATTTCAGACTCACTTATTTCCTTTAACCAGCTTCCACTTTGCCTCCATTTTTAATTATTGAGATGAAATTCAGGCAGGAAAATTTCAGTCTATTTCGTACTCGTGGGAGAATATTAAGTAGAATACTACCATTTGTGCCTCCTGGCAGGAGAAATACGAGGGTCTGGGGGGAGAGGAAGGTGTGGGATACTGGACCTGCTGTCTTTGGCTTCTGGTCAGGCAGAAGGGACCAGAAGGGACATGAGGGACATGAGATGGAGGCTGAAGGTGCAACCGAACAACAAAGCTCGGTCCTAACGTTAACAGAGAGACCTTCGTTGCGCATTGCGCACTTCTCAGCTCTTTTACGTCTTACGATTCGTGATTTAAAAGACATTTTTTTCTGAGGACAGACTCCTAACACTTGAGAGGTAGAAGTCTCTGGAAAGACAACATCACTAAATAATTTCTAAACTGAGAGCCGTGAGCCCCTGAAAATCCCTATGCACAGCAGGCCCCATCAGTGGATGAAATACTGTGCTATGAATTTTATGAGCGTGTAGACAATTTTGGAATTAATTTGAGATAAATATAATAAATGAAAACGATCTATGCTGAGCGCATAGCTATTTTGGTTTTCTTTTCATTTGCCTCAGCAGATCTGGAGGACATTATTGTTTTAACAGGGACCTCAACATTTTCATACTATTTATTAACTCATCTAGTTCCTCTCTCTTTTAATCTGGTGCATTGTCAATTGACAGAGGTGACTGTCGGTCTTTCTTGAGAGAAACTTCCCTGTACGATC